ACTCCCTGTTACCCTAATTCAGCCTACTCTAAGATACGGCCCATTTGTCCATTTCAGCCTTGTAGCTTTCCGAAATACAACTCAAGATAGCAGTCATTCTCCTAAAATACTCCAGTCCTAAATAAAATACTCAAACCTCAAGCGTAAAGATCTAAAGAACACCAGATCATTCGAAGGTATACGTTCTGGATCTTGTTCCAATTTTGTATGGTCCTCCAATCTCCACTCCAAAATTATCCTAAACTAAACCGTCACGCAGCCATCGACGAACAATCCGGCTGAAAACCGCATTAGTCTAGCCGCCAGTGTTCATAGACATCGACAAAATAACTTGCAATCGCGTGAACAACGCTCGAAGCGACAACTGTAAGTAAATTTGTACTCCGCTACAAATCTGTGGTTCCTTGATACTTTTTTAAATGTCTTGTACAATACTCCGCTACGGCCAACATAAATTCAAGCATTGGATGTTTTTAATTTTTTCAATTAAATAAAAAACTAATTATCCTAAAATATACGGAGTAGTATATTTTTCAAATTGTGATTCTGTAAACAGATTTTTGGTCATGCATTATTGCATTAAATTACATTGATTACTATAAACAGTTGAAAATTAAATTAACACATAATATAGAGTATATTATAGTGATGTTTTTAGACATCACATCGTATATATTGATCTAAACACCACTAAAATTTAACCGATTGTAAACAATATTAATAGTTAATTACTCGTATAATGATTTAGGGTTGATAAATATTACAGTATATGCATTCTAATCTGATTTGATATTTGAATACGAGGATATGCTACTCCGTATATATATTTATGTTTCCATCTAAGATTGTTTAATTTTTAATAGATTTATGGCTATATGTTCTAAAATGTGGAATGTTTCCCATTTTTAATAACTAAAAACCCCTTTCACTACATCAAATCATTATTGTAATATGGTCATAAATTATAGACACTTGATTATAATCGTGTTAGTTATTCATATTACATTTTTATACGATAGTATGTGAATGTATATCCTTCCAATTATTAATATTTTGTGTGTGTTGATGAGTATACCTGAATTTGGCCCTTGGACCCTAATGCACTTGAATTAGTAAGCTTAGGAATGACTACTCTTGTGAACTGATCCTCCTTCACCTAAAAACAGTCCTATTAGTTAGCTTTTTTGTAGATGTAGGCAGATTCAAAATACTATCGTATGAAATAAAATAGATGATACAGATGTTGTGTATAGCACAAATCATCACGTAAGAACAAAAATGCAATAGAAAGTACAAACAATGAGCTAAGATCTAGACATAATATGTTGATATTACAAACAAATAGTCTTTGCTTGTTAGCTATCCGGAATCATTTCCAAAGCATTTTCTGTTCAACCGCTTTTCCAGAGACCACATCATGAGTTATTTTCTAAAATATTATAAACACCAATGAAGGTTAGGATATTTTAGGTATAATAAATGTGTTGGTGTAACACAAAGCAATATGCTCTTGTACATTATGCTCCCATCATTATACCACATATTTTTACTCATGTTTTCTTCCGTTACTTCCGTTAAATCCATGCCTTAGCCGTCTCTGCCTTTAGTCTTCATGTTGTTCCTTACGTATTTACTTTATCTTTCTCATTTAATTTTTTCATTTAATTTTTTCATTCAATTTCCACGTACTCTAGAAGATCTGCCCACCCTTTTGAACCAATAGGAGAATTGAATTTCAACCAAAATTAACCCACCCACAATTAATCGTAACCGCACAAAAAACCTAACCTTTTTTATGAGCAGTGTCACCAACGGGACTCACCAATAGAAACTGAATAAGGTAATTAGTGAACTGTTCACCTTTGATCTTCAAGATTTGATCAACAAATTATTTACGTGGGCCTTTAGAAATCTGAGCACAAATATTATTTTGCTATTATTTTTGATGAAAAAATTAGCTAAACTATGATGTTGACATTTCTTGGAGGGAACTTTATTCATCAAAAATATTTTCCTTTTATATTAAGATAGATTTGAATGTTGTAATATCAATTTAAGTCTCTTTCTTTAAAAAAAAGTGTTGCATTATAAAATACCAAATTACTCTTATTTTGTATTTTTTTCATTTTTTATCATATACTTTCACCGGTCTCTCCTACATTTTACATTATTTTTACACTATTTACAATTGTTGTTATTTCTTTCTTAATTTTGTACAAAATTTCAATGTTCCAAGCAATTGAATAGTGAGGAGTTATTAACATTCATTTTTTTTTTTACTAAATTTGCTAAAAGAATAATTTTGTGATTCTTCATACAATTTGTATTTTATTTAGATATTATTATTATATATAAATATTTCAAAAAATAGCCAATCTAACTTAAGTTTTTGAAAACATATCAACAACAAAAAGAAAATAAGTTCTATATTGCAAGGATTTTTATTGTAAAAAGGGGAGTTTTTCCCAATTAATGCAAAAAGAATCATTAACTAAATTAGAGTCAATTTAAAGCATTACTCAAGATACCGTTGGATTGAACTATGGTTAAGAAAATCATAAATTAGTGGCGAGTCATCAAAACAACAACTACACAGGAGAGAGAATAAGGTGAGACCTTAGTAAAAAATCTTCTTTTCTTTAATTTAGGCCTCACCTTATCCCCTCTCCATAGTTGTTGTGTTCCGAGACGTAACTTCCGTATTCAAGGGAAAGTCGTAATTTTAAATGACAGTTTTTTTTAACTATAGTTCACTTCAACGGTATTTTGGTGAATACTTTTAATTCAATTCTAATTGAAAAAATGAAAAAAATAAAAGTTGAGAGTTTTGACTGGACAAAAATAGAACCATTTTTGGGAAGGACAAAAAACAGATCTGTACGCTACGGCTAGACGAAATCAAAAGGGCATTGCTAAAGGGGGTTGCAAAAGTTCATCAGGCCTAGCTATATCGAAGAACTTGCACCCAGTGGCGGACCCACTAAGGGTCCCATGGGGTCCCGGGACCCCGTGGACCTCCAAAACAATACCTATATATATTTATATATTTGTTATATAAAATAAACTACTTATTGTATATATACCCAAAACACTGAATTACAACACAAAGGGTGAAGTAGCAGACCGGGAGCAAATATGATCTGGATGGAGTACGTCTTGGGGAGGTGTAGGGATCGATTCCCCTAGGCATTTATTTTTTGCAACAAGAGATTTTAGACCCTCGTGTTATCAATTTATCATGCACTTCTTTGTAGCCCCAAATTTCAGCTTATACTCATTCATTATATGAAAGGAAACCTACTACCCATAGTATAATTGTAACAATACACAAACTTAACATATCTTTTATATTAAAGTAAGATTAAATTATTTTGCTACTGAATAAATTTATAGAAAAGGCTGAAAAATATTTGGTGCGGCCAATTAAATATAAGTGTAAAACATTCAGACATTAAGTCTAAATAAACATTTAACCTCTACATAATTAATGTGCGCCTTTATTCAAGAAAAATAAATTTTATACGTAGTATTACATTTGTAAAAATAAGACAGGATTAAATTATCTTGAACTTTTAAAAGAATATTTTTCAAAATTCCAGATATAGAATATCGGTGTCACATGAAAGATCAAACAAATTATTTACTTTGATATATTTTTTTACAAAACAGAGCACACATAAAAAGGTGTAATATTTTTAATAAAAAAAATAGTTAGCCAAATGTAATATCTTTCATTATGTACTTCAAAAAATGTACATTAAATATGGAACATTGTGCTACTTTAATATTTTACTTCTTTTTTATTAATTTTTTTTATTGATTAGAGTTACATTAGAGTAGGGACCCCGTGGCTCTGATTTTCTGGGTCCGCCACTGCTTGCACCTGCTCCATGCATGGCCATTTCAGATAGCCGCCGCTATCGAGCAACTGCGCCGCCGACTCTGTCGAGCAACAACGCCGCCATCTTCATCGAGAAACAGCGCCGCCGCCGCTGCTACTTCTCTTACCGTCGCACCGCGCTCGGACACTGCAGATCTATCATCTTCCTCTTGTTTCTTTTCAGGAGCATCCCCGATGGACGATCACCGGAGATACGCGATGAAGACTTGCGACTAGGGATTGCTGGCGACGAGTCACGATGACTTGTCACGGATGTCGACGTGCGACCGTCGGAGATTGACGGCAAACGGCGGCAGGACGGCCAGATCCAACATATGCGGCGGCTTGGGTGGGAGCTAAAGGGAATTGCAAAAGTTACCGGGGACAGGAGCGGTTGCAGGGGAGGAGGCTTGGGCATGGGAGGGGATAGTGCGGGGGGGGGGGGGGGGGGGGGCAGCGGAGGGGCTGAGGAGGGTGTACTTGCGGGCGGTGGCAGCCATCACTGGGCTGGGTGGTTATTTGGACGGTGGTGGTTGGTGGTGGTCGGGGATGCAGTGGTCGGGGTGGTCGAGGGTGGCAGTGGCTGCGTTGGTCACTAGTCGGATTGATCATGACAAAAGGTTAGATTGGTCACTGGTCGGGTAGGTCATGGTCGTTGGTCACTGGTCGGATTGGTCACGGTCGTTGGCCGGGTTGGTCACTGGTTGAATTGGTCATTATAATTCGTCGAGTTGGTCACTGGTCAGATTGGTCACGGTCGTTGGTCAGGTTGCTCAGTAGTCGGATTGGTCATGATCGAATTAGTCACGATCAAATTGGTCACAGTCGGATTGGTCATGAGCATGTTAGTCACTACTTGGATTGATCATTGTCACTTGTAGGAGTTTAGTCTCTCTTTTGGAATTTTTTAAAAGTGGTCCTATATTTGTCCATAACATTTATTTTTGTATTATTTATGGACAAACCTCATTCTAATTTCATAAATAATTCTTTTTTTAATATTAATTTGAAAAAAAACTCTGATTAAGCGTGGGAAAGTGCAGTTTTAAAAAGGATTTATGTAACCGGTAGTTTACCAGCTAATGGTCAAAATAAAAAAGGTTTATGAAGAACTGACGAAGATGGTATTGTAAAACCGTCCGTTCCCTGGTGCCAAACAGTCACTGCTATTCTTCTGCTAGAGAGAAAATCCAAGAAGCTAAAAATGGCGGCTGCCATAAGATTCATCTTCTTCGTCTTCATTTTCCGGACTGAATGGGTCACCTCCGCCGACTCAATAACGACGATGGCGCCACTGGCTCCACAACCGCCGCCGCTTCTTCAAGAAGTCTTTTCCAAACTCGGCTTCCAAGAACTCGCCGCCGTCACCGCCGCGGCAAATCTCTCCACGGCCGCCGATTCAATCACCGTCTTCGCCCCCACGGATTCCTCGTTTCTCACGTGTCCGTTCTGCTCCCTCCCCTTGCTTCTTCTCGAGCATTCCTTGCCGGGCCTCTACCCATTCCGCAAATTACGCAATTTGGCATTCGGAACCAAGATTTCGACTTTAGCCCCAAATCGCTGCCTCACCGTCACATCCACCGCCGTCGTCTCCACCGCATTCCCCGCCAAGAAAGTCTTCGTCAACGGCGCTGAAATCACCAAGCCGGACCTTTTCAACGACGGCCGTCTCATCATTCACGGCCTGCAGGGCCTCGTTTCTCATCTTTCACCCCTGTCCTGCGAGATTGAGCGCCAGAGCACTCTGACATTCTTCCCCCGCCCGGCGGCGGAGGCGGCGGCGATCTTCGCGACGCGCCTGATGCTGAAAGAAGCCATGATGCGGCTTCGCACTTCTGGGTACAGTATTGTCGCTCTGGGTATGCGAGTCAGGTACCCGGAGCTCACCGAGCTCAAGAATATGACGGTTTTCGCCGTCGACGACGCTTCCATCTTCGCCGGCGGCGCGGGGCGGTCGTACATGGCTGACCTAGGGTTCCACATTGTGCCCAACAGGCTTCTGGCGGCCTCTGATTTGATTACTCTGCCTCCGGAGACTGTATTGCCTACAATGGAACGTGGACGGAGCCTGGTGGTTACCACAGCCGGAGGCGGCGGCGTTTTTAGGCCGTTGATGATCAACTTTGTGAAAATCAGGAGCCTTGATGTGGTGCATAACAGCCGGATTGCTGTTCATGGGCTGTCAATGCCCTTTCCACACGTGGATCGTCATCAGACGGCTTGAAGCAGCTTCACCATTATAGAGGTTGAAGAACACGTAAATGTGTATTACTGTAAATGATAATGATGATTGGGAGGGGCTGAACTGTGATTGTCCGTCAATGATGTAATTTTGAGGAACATTGTCTTTTTGTTTAAATAAACACTGCATTTTTTTTTACTGTATATAAACCAGTTGAGTATTCTTTTTGTTACGTAGAGAATCAACTGTATAAACTGATTTTTGACTATTCTTTTTGTTAAATAGCATTGTCCTAAGTTTACTTGGTTACTCTGAAGTACGTAGTATTTTGATAATCTATTCAAGTTGAAAAATCAGTTGATGTATGCCTATTCTTTTCCTTGATGATAAATTTTTCCTTACATTTGTATGTGTGCAATTCTTTTCCGGTGCTCAACAAATTCTCTACAACAATTTAGGTATATGATATGATGCCTTTATCTTTCTACCATTTCATTGTACAATTGGATATGATGCCTTTATCTTTCTACCATTTCATTGTACAATTGGATATGATGCCTTTATCTTTCTACCATTTCATTGTACAATTGTAATCTCTTAGTCTTTAAAATAGTTTCGGACTTTCACCTACTATTGCCTGATTTGTCTGTATCTTTGATGACTTATTAAAATTATTTCATGTATGTTGGGCCCAAGAATTTCAATTCAAGATTGGGCCGACGATTAATATAAGTGTGTTGGAGCCGGGATTCGACTGACTGATGGGCCATGGACTGGTGTGGATATTAAAGGATGAGCCCGATGGCTCCAATAATGGAATTAGCCAGCTAGCCGGATGAAAGCAGATTTGAACGAAGCTAAAAACGTGGGGAGCAGTTCCCTATTTCTTTGGCTAAACGGATGCAAATAAGGCTGACACAATAACTATCATAAACAGGGAGGATTACTATCCATGTAACGCACGATCTGTTAGAAAACGAATACTACATATAGCGTATGCAGGCTATTCTCAAGGGAATAATTTTGACATTCTTGAAGAAACTAATTTTCATTTGCTCACCACTGAAAGGCACGATCAACTGAGATAATATACATATTCCAACTTTACTATTCTGTATTAGAAGCTTAGTATTCCATCATGATTATTCATTCTTAGTTATAATATTACGTATTACTCTTATTAATTCGGCCCTTATTTGATTCTTCATTGCTTGATTCCCATTTCAATTATATACTTTAGATTAGTTTATTTTCTGCTAAAACAATGTAAATGTTTTTATAGCAACATGTTTGTTATAATGCCTAATTTTCTAGGATTTTGGAAGGTAATGCATATTTATTGATCCTTGACTACATAAATTAATAAGATCATGCACAAGGGAGGAGATACTTATGGCCTCTTTACTAATAGATATATTTTCCAGTTTTCCAAAGAACTAGAAAACTGGAAAACAGAAAACAGGAAACGTGTTTACCAAAGAAAATTGCAGGAAAACTGGAGAAAGGAAAACAGAAAAACGCGTTTACCAAATCGTTTTCCAAAACGAAAAAAATGAGATATGTCTCTCTTTTCCTTAATGATTTGGAGAAGTGACTTTTACTAGTTTTCCAAATTTGGAAAACGCAGATGCTATAGTGCCGCTGCAATGAATTTGCATACTTACACCTAGTGGTGAGTCCGGTCCCGCTCCGATGTCGATTCCATTCCGGTACCTCCATTATCATACCTTAACCATTACCCCTACCCTACCCACCACCCTATCCCCACCCCCACCCCTCTTAACCCTTTTCCCTACAATGACCCTACCCCACCGCCTACCACATGCCTCTACCTTGGCCCCACCCCCAACCTCCCTACCCTACCGCAACCCCTACCACCTCGATCCCACCCCGACCCACCCTACGCTACCCCCACCGCTCGTATATTACCCTTACCTTACCCCTTACCACATGCCCCCTACCTCAGCCGCACCCTCGTACCCCCACCCTACCGCAGTACCGCCATCCTACCCCCCACCTTACCCTTCCCTTACCTCGGCCCCACCCTCATCCTACCCCAACTCCCTACCCTACCTTACCCCAACACCCATTACCCCCCACCCTTACCCCTAACCACGACCCTAACCCTCCCACCACCCCCACCCAATCCCCTACCCCTAGACCTTACCACCCCACCCCGACCATACCGTTTACCCCACCCCACCCCGACCCCTACGAGTAGGTATGGGTGGGTATGAAGGGTTGTAGGGGAGTATGGGTAGAGTGTAAGATCGTGGTAAGGGTAGGGATATGGGTCAAGGGTGTGGAATTGGGTATAGGGTGTAGGGTGGGGGTACGAGGTATAGAGGCGGGGTAGGGGTTAGGGGTATGAGTACACGTACGAGGTGATCGACCCCACATATTATATTATATATTTGTGTTTATGAATGTTTGTGTGTCTATATATGTATAAGGTCATTTTGGACATTTTAATGTTAAACGGTGTTTTAAACCTTTTGAAGTAAACATGATCTTACAACATTACTTATTTTATGCGCCGTTTATTAATGCGGGTCTTAATAAGCACTGTTTAGTAACCTGTGAAGTAAACATGTGCTCAGTCTTCTAGATGATCACAGAAATGAGTGAAAAAATTGATGAACATGTTTTGAGATTTGAAAATGGAAAACTAAAAAATAGAAACAGAAAATTGGAGATAGAAAAACTGAAAAATAAAAATAGAAAACTGGAGAACGAAAAACAGAAGTAGAAAACAGGAAAATATCTCTGTTAGTAAACAGACCCTTAGGGCCTGTTTACTCATTTGTTAATGAAAATGATGATATACGAAGTATATATTATCTTATCCAAAAAACATCTAAATTATTACAATACATTATACGTAGCAGTTTTTTTGGGAAAGGGTCAGATAGACCCTCGAACTTACATAAAAAATTCAAATCACCCCTTTTTAAGAGAGGTTCTGTCTGGATGTCGCCATTTGGAACGGTTCCCGGTGTAGTTTTTTGATAAAATTTTTGGAGCATCTTCTTCATTAAGTCTAGTTTACCATACAAAATTTCAGCTAAACATTCAACTGGTAAGGCAGTCGAATGATTTTGTGTAATGTATTGCACTGTTTAATGGCGCAGTTATCTTCCCGATTGAATTTTTAGCTCAAATTTGGTATGACTAAACTAGCCTTAATGAATAAGATATTCAAACAATTTCATCAAAAAATTCTTACGGGAACCGCCCCAAATGGCGACAGCCGGACAGAACCTCCTATAAAGGGATTATTTGAACTTTTTAAGTAAGTTCGAGGGCCTATCTGACCCTTTTCCCCTTTTTTTGAATGGAAACCTGACATTTTATATTAAATCAACTCTCGATGTATAACCGAGGAACAAAACAACCGAGCAACAATAACCAAAAGCCCTAACCTCCCTTTAACCAACATTAACCATAAGCCCACCGCCCCCGTCATGTCTTGATCATACATAGAGTAGTCCACTCCAAAAAGAGAGAGACTAATCACTGAGCATGTGAGAGATTCAAAGCTATTAGCGGCTGAATCAGCCTAATTGTCTCCAAGCAGAATTCTTGCAACTAAAATGAACCAAACTACGCACCTACCACCTTTATTGTTTAACATAATAAAATCAAATAAGAACTAGAAAGCAGAAAATAACAAAAGTAATTAATCTTCAAGTGATGGACCGGTAGAATCCATCATTCAAACATTATCTTCCAAACTCTAGTCACACATTTCTTCCTTGGCGACGATTCAGGAGGGGGACAAATCATTAACACTCCAGACTCTTCCTCCATCACTTGTATCCGATTCGGGAATTCTTCATGCCACATCAATAGTCTATCCATCGCTAAATGATCTCTGCCCTTCACGGTCACCAAAAAACTCCATCTTAATTATTAGATTTAATATTTTTTTTGAAAAACAAGGTGTTGGGGATTTCTAGCTTGACAACCCTCCATACGGTGATACAGTAAGGGGTGTTTGACTTCGATTCTTAAAATGATACTACACTTTCAGCTACCACAAGCAGCAAAAATACTAATGGTATTTTAATTTACTCTTATAAGCAGTTTTTTTAGAAGGGGAAGCAGAACCAGTTCCAAACATTCCAAAAAAGTAAGAATTTATGAGTCAAAAATTCCATGTAAATATATTTTACTCCGACACTTCTAATTCATACTACTTCCCTTCTCAACACTCCTAGATTCTCAATTTGACTCTCATGAATTATACTTTATCTTACACTGTCGTCTAAGAATGTTGTATACAGTGCAAAATTATACTCCGTATGAACAAGAGGAGTAAGGGAAAGGAAGGAGTGAAGCACACCTAGAGAAAGTGAAAGGAAGAAGAACATAGAAAGGGAAATGAAGAAAAAAGAGAAAGGGAGAAAGCAGAACAAGATGTAAATATATCGATTCTTGTTTATCTTTAATTAATTGAGCTCATATTAATTTGTTTTTTTTTTAATTTGTTGTTAATAATCTAAAGGTATTTCTTTATTCAAATACCCGGTACCCACTTCCCTCTTCACATCAATTGCCCCATCCCGAACACAGTATTAATTATATAGACGTTCAAATAGATATGGGATCTGAACAAGATGATATATTATTTCAACGTGCAACAACTGAACTAGTAATTTCAGTTTTCAAAAAAAAAAAAACTAGTAATTTCAAATAGCATGATGAGTTGTTTGACCATTTCTAAAGAGGCAATACTTTGCATCCCATCCCAGAATAATTAATTTTTGAAGAAGGCATTGAAACATGAGATGTACCATTTGGGCGAAGAGTACATTTCACCCTCAAAGGAGCACATTTAAAACAATTTGGACAATTGAGGGATGCCATTTACAATTTCAGAAATACAGGTCTGACATTCAATATGGTGACTATTTCAGGGACTAAAAGTGCGATTTTCCCTTCGTTAACCGTATTTTCTATTATTGTTTTAAAAAAGGATGAGCTGATTAAGATTTGGAATTTGGAAACATGAGAACTCAATTGGCACAAGTGCACAACTACACTATAGGAGATGAGAACCAAAGTACAGCACCCAACCAAGTCAGTTTATACGAACTGAGTTGGTTGCAAGAGGAAAATACACGGACACCTTCATAAGGAAACAAAAAAGATTGAAGTATAATTATAGCATCAAAAACTCTAGTTCGTTTCCTTCTAGTTTTTTAAAG